TGTCACATCACAGCCTCACCGGCCCGATATCGGCTCTCGCTACTCGCTGGGTGATTCAGTTCAACTGTAGTTTTCCGTGCTGATACTGAGACTGGAGTCACAACGGCCTCATTTAATGATAGCGGTGTCATTAATAATAAAAACCCACGGCTCCAGTGAAAAGGGGCGGGGGACTGGGAAAAAGCTGCTTCCTTGACTTTTCTATTCGCTCGGCTCTTTCAGCAATTAATCATTTATCATCCGACTTTCACAAATAACAGAATGTGTTTTTTTTTCGGATGCTTTATTTTATGTTGTGTAATAGAGATGATCAGAATTACAAGGGATTCTGGTCGTTTTGAAGCTTGTCCTCTACGACAGGTGTGTGACTTTGAAGATGGATGAGGAGGTAAATTGCTCAAAAGCAAATTATATTTTATTCACGCCGATATAATTATGATAACGTTGATTCTCACACTGTATGTGGAAAGACGATGTATTTCAAACATCGTTTATTCTTTGTGTGATCTTGGCATATTTGCACTGGTTAAACAACCATCCACAGCCCAACCCCACTTTCTTGAAAAGATGGTAAAGTCCAAACGGTGCAAAGTTTGCTCTTTTATTTTTTCTGTTTCATTATAATTTCAAAATTTAAACTCCTCCTGTGTCTTTTTTTTTTGAGTTGCTCGCCACGTCCTCCAAACTTCGTCTGCTGCATTGGCCTCATAGAGACTATTGGAAAGGACATATGCGCCTTTTACTGTGACACTCGAGCAAACAGCAATGAAGAGGTTTTAAGATGAGCACATTTGTCATTTTGATTATCAAGTGGCCGTCTTTCACAAACGTTTGTGGAACGAGGCCCTTGACATTAAGCAGAAGGGTTGCGAGGGAAAAGTCTGTAAATTCTGCCCTTGACACGAACATGTATGGATTCAGAAAAACGTGTGGTGATATTTCACTCGCTGCTCAATGACTGCGGCACTTTCCACTGATTGATTTGAGCCGACAGAGCGGCAGCATCACAACAGGTTGATAGATCTATGTCAACAAAACCTGTTATAACTAAAATAAGGTGATGTCTTCATAAAGGTGTCATTTCATTCTGTGATTAGAATCGGTGATATATCGCGGACGAGGTACGGATCTCTTCAAACCATAGATCAGAACAAGGATGAGTGTTTCGCATTAGATGTTAATTATTCGGAACAATCACTGGAGGAATCATAGATCACTTACTGTTGTAAAGGTGCCATCTGGACTGAATGTGAAATATCGTCTCTTAGGTGGCAAAAGCTTCAAGCTGGAATTCATTATGACATAATAGTAATAATACACATACATAATAATATACAATTTTAAAGGCTCATCAGAGTCAAAGCAAGTCACACATCATGAAGATAGTTTGGAGATTTTAAAGCGTTGAATGAAGCATTGGGCAGTTCTGTGGCTGTCAATCAAATTTAATTTGTACGGCCCATCCTCACATCCTCATGTCCTCACATCCTCATGTCCTCACATCCTCACGTCCTCCGCCCTTAACCCTCGACAAGAATGAGGAAAAACTGAATAAAACCTTTTATCAGGGGGAGGATACTCCTGACAGTGTCTGACATAAATGGAGAGCTGCATCAGTGTTTGAAGTGTTTATACAAAAGAAAATTTCCGACAGATATGAAGGGAGCAATAATGACAATTGTGGTGAAGCAGTATTGCCAGTAATAGTAATATATGATATATAATTGTCATCAAAATCCCAGATTAGCGGCCGCCACGATCCATGATCGTCATGTGGCCGCAGCCGCGACCCTGGATCTGATTTTGCACAATTTATTTATCCTTTGCAAACAAATCATGATGTTTCATGATCCACCTGCAGCGTCTTCCCTCAGTTTTTGTGCTTGCTTAATAAACTCTCCTCAGCTGACAGGGGGCCGGCAGGCAGAACAGTAACGTGAATAGTAAACTGAGATGTTTCTTCTTGAAAAGCCTGAGCAAAGGGGAGCACAGCGAGGACCCGGACACCCTCTGATGGAAGCACAGGATGAGTCAGGCTGCACAAACGCTGCCTGTGCTCCTGGAGGAAGATGGAGGTTTGTATTCCTGATGACAACATGGGTCCATGGGCATCGCTGCATAGCTCAATGGGTAAACACTGATGCACCAGCAAACTGACTGACTCTGTGTGTTGTTGATGAAAATATGTGTAACACCAACACACAACGTTCACTCACAGCAGATTTCCAGCGACTTCAGGGTTGGTGTAAGAAAGTGAAGAGCAAGTTAAACTTCACTCACAATCTTTTAGTGAGACGCACTTACCAAGATATTTAGAAAGCAGCATGAAGAATAAATGTTGCATGCTCTGCTGTGACAGCAGCAACTGCACTCTGCTGGATTCACTGCTCCACCTGTTTCTTCAACATGATCTCTGTCACAAACCAGACTAACACACACATAACCCACTCTTCATGCATCCTCTCACCACTCCCAACATCAGTCACCCACTCAACTGCCACTTCTCTGTGAAGCCGTCAGGTCGCATACACTCAGATAGTCAGAAAGTATGAAAGCATCAGTGCAAATAAAACCAGGAAATGTGTTTAGGGCAGAGATCTTCATGATTTTGGAGCCACTTCTGTCGAATGAAGAAAATAATGTTGCAGAGCTTTTATGGTAATGAGAAGTGTCTTAATATCTATTGTAAACACGGGCACACTCAGGGTACGTCAAATAAAAAGTAGAGCAAATATAACTGTAGGCTTCTGTCACCACAGGAAGTCTTAATGTCTGAATGGTAAAACTATTCTATGCTACACGTTGCTTCATGAGACTAAGACACAGGTCGTCACTATGCAAGCACCCAATGTGTTTGCACAAGTTGTGTGTGGACCTGAGTTCCTGCAGTCAGACCCAGAGTCCACATTTATGGTATTTTTCTGCCACCTCCTGTCCTGAGGCAGTAGTACAGGAGGACCATAAATACCTGTTGCAACACACAGCATGGGACTCAAACTATTCTATTCTCACACATACCTGTTTTAAAGTCAGCGACGGGAAATCAAATAAATTCTTAAAAACACAAATACTGAACAGATTTTTCATGTAAGATTATAGACCCAAATGAATTCAAGTAATAGACTTTTTTGTTTGCTTTAAAATACCACAAAGTTACGTCACAACTCCAGCATCTGGTCGAGCAAGAGCCACTCGCTCCTTCAGGGTGAAGCTCAGATTTAAAACCAGATACCAATTCAATTAAATTCCCCTCAAGCCTTTGCACACATCACCCCACAGAAAAAAATTTAGTGGACCAATCAGGTAAATCCTGAATTTCATGGTTGATGATTCTGTTTTTTATTCATGTCAGTCCTCCCACACACCCCACGTGTTGTCCTCTGACGTGGCAGCAGGTGTTTAACAGGAAATGCTGGTTGTTCAAACTCCACCTGTCCTGTTGCCTCATGGGAGGAGCTGCAGAAACACACACACACACTTCCTCGTTCTGCTTCACAGTGGACATCACATGCAGAGCACTGACAGATCCAGGACAACTGCAGGTACGGAGACATTTCTAAATATCGCAGCTCTAATTCCAGTCAAGAAGAATACAAATGAAAAGGAGATGAACTCTTCAGCAGGTTCTAAAGGTGGTTGGTTATTGGATGAAAGGGGAAATGCAACAGTGTCATTTAAGATGGAGCAGAGAGGAAATGTCTGGAGGAGTTAACTAGTTTCAATAATGACAATTCGGGATATATATTTAAAAAAGAACAGCACACAAATGAAATAAAGTCAAACATTTAAGGTGTCTGTCTTTAAATCAAAATAAAGAGTTAGTTCACATGCGGAAGCTGTCACATCCCGGATATCTGGTTGGGGTGTCTACCTTCAAAATAAAAGCATTTATTCATTCATTCAGTGAAAAGTCGTGTGTTGTCAGACAAAATGATCAGTTGTGGCTTGGTTTTCTTTGTCAGGTGTAAAATGTAAAGTTTGAAACCAAAATTAATATAAATTTCCACCACGTGCTCCTTCATTATCAGACTAGTTGTTTTGCTTTTGCTAAAGTGGTTTTTCTTTTTCTTTAGTATCAGGCTGGTCTGAGATGCTGAAAGTTGATGGGAACAAAAATTATCTGCACATGTTCAATTAATTTGAAAACAATGATAGTGAACATTTACTCAATGTTTATTTTTAATAAATGTTTAAAGTGAAAAACAGTTCTGGGTCCCTTTCTGTTTGATTATCGAATTGTTACCAAGATACTTTATTTATGTATCCGCTATTTATTTAAGTTTTTATATTTGTTTATTACATTTATATTTTTCTATATCTTTCATTATTTTATTCCCACATTTATTCTACACTTACTTATTAATTAACTGATTATTATTTAACCCTTCTGCAGTAACATTGCAAATTTCCTCGTCGTGGAATGAATAAAATATAATTTTATCTTGGACCCAAATGTATGTATTTCCTAATTTACTCAGTGGCCAAATATATAAGTAGTCTGGACTGGTAAACGTTTCTTAAAAAAATAAAGTTAGCCACATAAACTAGAAGTCTGGTGCTTTGCATGAAAGGGTGGAAATGAATGGAGTCAAATTCCCCGCCTGAATTATTGTCCCAGTCCACCACTGGAATGGGATGCATCATCTGTAGAAATTGTATATATAATATATAATATAATATACTACTCTTACTTTATAACGTTAGTATGCTGCACTGAACCGCGTGCATCTATACAGATTTGTACTTTTACAAGAACATAGTCGTACTTGTACAAGAATAAAGTTGTACTCGTTCAAGAATAAAGTCGTACTTGTACAAAAATAAATTCGTACTTGTACAAGAATAAAGTCGTACTTGTACAAAAATAAATTCGTACTTGTACAAGAATAAAGTCGTACTTTTAATTTTTGAAAATCAATTACAATTTATTTCTCCTAATATTACAACAACTAAAAAATCCGATTCTCAACTGCATGTGATGTCACTGATTTGACTTGTTGTCTCTGTCGCTTAGAAAATAAATAAAGTTGTTTTGAATCGTATGCGAGGGAGCTCTTATCCTGAAAAGGTCTGACCGGAAGTGTTTGTTGTTGTTGCTTTAGGCGGAAGTCATGTCCCATAAGTTAGCGTCGCTAGCAGTTAGCTTCCTCAGCTAAATGTAAATGATCCGCTTCTCTCACGTCGGCCGGACCTTTGCTCTCCGTGTCGCCATGAACAGGACGCATTTGAGGCGGTACAAGATCCTGAGGATGGCGCTGATGGGCTCCGGGCCGGAGGAGAGCTTCCTGCACCGGTCACTGAGGATAGCGGCGGTGGTGGCTCTCTACTGGTTCATCTCCATCACGATGGTGTTTCTCAACAACTACCTGCTGGACAACAAGGACCTGGAGGCTCCGCTGTTCGTCACCTTCTTCCAGTGTCTGGTGTCCGTGGTTCTGTGCTGCGTCATGCAGCTGCTGGCCAAGATGTGCCCGTGGCTCATCGACTTCCCGCCGGTCCGCTTCGACCTGAAGACGTCCCGGGAGGTGCTGCCTCTGTCCGTGGTCTTCATCAGCATGATCACCTTCAACAACCTGTGCCTGAAGAATGTCGGAGTGGCCTTTTACACGGTGGGTCGATCCCTCACCACCGTGTTCAACGTGTTGTTGTCCTACGTGATCCTGAAGCAGACCACGTCTCTGCAAGCCATCGTGTGCTGTGGCATCATTCTAGGTAGGTCGCACAGATCATGTTCTACTTAGAACACTCATGTGTTCCCGAAGCCAATCTGGTGATGTGTCCTTATTAGTTTTCACCTCAGGAGTCATGGCAACAGAATAAAGTTTAGTGGTGTAACCAGAATAAAGTTGTGGATTTAGTAGAATAAAGTTGTAGTTTTACCAAAATAAAGTTGTGGATTAACTAGAATAAAGTTGTGGTTTAAC